TAGTCTAAGGGGCTTATCAGATGGATACCCCATTTAGAAATGGGTGTTTCAGATGAGTGGTAAGTACCAGTTGGTTCACAAGGGAGGAACCAAAAAGGTACAAATCTGTGTTAAGACCTTTTATGTTTATTAATATATTTTCATTTTTAACTGTGAAAAGTAATGGAACATTAATGTTTTTTTACAATTATTTTTATACAGGCAACAAGAATGGGTAAATCAGCAAAGGGAAGATATTGAAAGGCAAAGGAAACTTCTAGCCAAACGCAAACCTCCCACAGCTAATAATTCTCAGGCACCCTCTACCAACTCTGAACCAAAACAGAGGAAAAATAAAGCAGTCAATGGCGCAGAAAATGATCCCTTTGTTAGACCAAATTTACCGCAACTGTAAGTCTCACATTTTTTATTTTCCTTTTTTAAAATTGTAGCCAGTGAGCATGAATGGTAGTAATGGATGTTATTTATAATTAAACCAATACTTAAGTAGTAGTAATAATTTTGGCCAGAAAGAAGGCAGTATTGAAAATTTACTTTTAAATTAATAATAAGCCCCAAATACCTGAATTTTACTTTTGTAAGTGGAGATGTATTAATCCTCTTTAAAAAACGGACTTAGGTAGCTAAGAGATTGGAATCCCCTCTCATGTCTGAGTGGGTCTGTTATTACTGTTCCTTTTTCTAAGAGATTGTTAACTTAATATATAGCTGCCATACATTTTCTCAACCTGTGGAAGCAGTACATTAATAGATTATAGGTACTGTTTTTCTCCTTTTGCTTTTCTTTGTTTTCTAAATTTTTGGCTTTAATGCTGAATTACTCTTTATAATTCAAGGGACAGAGACATTTTTAAAAAATAGTTACATGATTATCATAGAATAGTAGCCCTGCGCACAAATCCGTGCGCCAGTAGCTCTCTGCGGGCCTGGCCGCTCCGCACCCGCTGCCCAGAGGCTCTCCGTGGCCCAGAGGCCCATCTGCAGTCAGGCGCGGAACCCTTGCCTTGTGGCCGGGGTGACAACGCAATCGTTTTCCCCCTTTCCCCGCGGCTCCATGCCCGCTGCCCAGAGGCCCACCACAGCTGGAGTGGAACACTTGCCTCGTCACCACGGTGACGAGGCAAGCATTCCACCAGGCCATTCACGCTGCCCACTCTCAGCGGCCGCCCCCCCAGTCCCGGGGGACTCCAGCAAGGCTGAGAGGACTGGGCGCCACCATCTTTGTGATGGAGTGATAGTTAATTTCCATATTATTAGGTAGGATCATTTGGGAGATACAGAAGAATATAATAAAACATAGATCATGATCTGGTCCCACAGAGCACCATTGTTAAAATGTTGATATATAGTAATCCTCCCTTATCTGGATTTTGCTTTTCTCAATTTCAGTTACTCATGGTCAACCATGTTCCAAAATATTAAATGGAAAATTCCGGAAATAAACAAATTATAAGTTTTAAATTGCATGTCATTCTGAGGAGTGTACTGAAATCTCACACCATCCCACTCTGTCCCACCTGGAATATGCATCATCCCTTTGTCCAGTGTGTCCACGCTGTATCCACTGCCTGCTCATTAGTTACTAGCTGTCTTGGTTATCGGATCGACGTCGTAGGTCATGCTTGTGTTTAACCCTTATTTTACTTAATAATGGCCCCAAACCATAAGAGTAGCGATGCTGGCGATTCAGATATGCCAAAGAGAAGCCTAAAGTGCTTCCTTTAAGTGAAAATGTGAGTACAGTACAGTCAGGCATTTTGAGAGAGCACATTCACATAACTGTTATTACTGTATATTATATTTGTTTTATTTTATTTCTTGCTGTGTCTAATTTATAAATTAAGCTATCATTGGTATGTATGTATAGAAAAAATGTAGTAAGGTGGTATGCACAGGGTTCAGTGCTATCCTTGGATTGGGCATCCACTGGGGGTCTTGGAACATATCCCCCATGGATAAGAGGGGAATAATACTGTATATATGAAGTTATTTTTCTGTTCTACAACAATTTTCAAAAGTTCATGTGAGTAGAAAATACATCCACACACACACACCCTGTTTGATGTTTTTTATGGGTGTATTCTTTTTCTCCTTTCTTGAAAAATAATGTTTTATCTATGCTTTGAATCCCATTTCCTATATCAAGGACCTGTTTTGTTGATACCTTTGTTATCTTACATGTTCAACTTTTTGTTTTTTCTCTTTTAGAAAACAAAACAAAAACTTCCCTTTCAGTTATAAATCCCTCTAGTTTTCATGTTCAATTTTTTTAAAGATTGTAAACTATCTCCTTGATGGTAAATGCAATAGACATTTGAGTCTTTAACTTGGCAGCATTGAATATAGTTGCATCTTAACTTTTTCTTAAAAGACTTTTATTGTCTGAGTGTTTGAAATACATTGTTCTCCTCATTTTCATTTAACTTGCTTGGCTACATCTTCTTGGTCTCTGTTATGGACTGGACATCATTTTCTCTACCAATCTGTAAAAATGTAGGATCTGTTTTTAAGGATCTGTTCTATGCCATCATACATCTTGAGTAATACCTAGTCTCCTTGAGTATTAGCTGCTCTCAGGTTTCAGTTACCATGTATATGTTGCTACAGACTTTTATCTCTAGGCCACTTTTCTCTCTTGAGTATCAAATATTTATATTTCAATCTTGAAGCATATTTATATCCTTGCTTGATTGCTATTGGTACTTAAATGTTTCACAGGAACTTCTAATGCAGCCTGTTCAAAACTGTATTTACTAAAAACAATCCAAAACACAAACTCTATTTACTATTATCTTTTCTATTTCAGTCTCTCTTTCCCCAACTGCACATGCACACACACCTTGCCTTTTTCTGTTTTCTCTATTAGTAAATGGTGCTGCCATCCTCTCAATGCCACATGCCAGAATTTTGGTTGTCACCCTTAGGATTTTAGATCAAGATTTTTATAATTTCCCACTAATAAATAGTGCTGATAATCTTATCTTTCAAAGTCCATCTCAAAATCTTTCTTCTTCAAATCTTTCCTAATTAAAGGGGCTGTGTAATTCGTAATTGAAATATTTGGCTATCTTTTTTTTAAAATTTAGCAAATGATTTCCTTTTTGTAAATTTGTTGCTTAAAAAAAGAGTCCATGGGTAGGCGAGCAGTTATATACAAGAAAGTGTATGTTAGCTTTAACTCCACCCTAATAGACACCAAGTTGTTCTTCTGTAGCTTAAATGTACCTACCCACTTATGTAACTCCCCACTGATACCATTCTAACTCAAGTTATTGCCATCTCTTATTTGGGTTTTTGGGGGCGTTTTTTTACACATGCATTCCCCTTTTAACTTTGATCTTGTCCTTTAATCCATTTTCAGTTGTAAACAGTCATTTTTTTTCCAGATAAAATTATGATCTTTCTATTCTCTTCTTTAGAACCCTAACATAGCTCTCTGTTGTTTGAATGATATTAAGATAGCTTATAAAATACTTTTGATCTGGCACCTTTTGACCTCTCTAGCCTCAATTACTGTTCTCTTATGTCTCATCATGTAACTTTCATATTTCCTTCAGAGGCCTTCAGGATAAGATTCACTCTCATGAAGACCCTCTAATAGGCCTTCTTATTCCTCTCTCTATCCTTATTCTCCCAACATCTCCCTGTGTATCCTGTGTTAAACTCTTTTAGTTCTTTAAATGGACTATGCTTTCTGTGCCTTTATGCATCTGGTCCTTGCCCTTCTTCACCTCATTTCCTATTCATCCTTGAACACTTGGCTCAGATACCAATTTCAGTAGAAAGCTCTCTCTAACCTTTTTTTTCCCTAGTTTTCCCCCTTCCCGTCAGGTCAGGTGCCCATGACCTTTTGTACATTCCTGCCTATATTGCAGCATTTATGTCACTATTTTATCTTTATACATAGTCTCAATATCTAGCACAGTTCCTGGCATATGGAAAGTGGTAGGTAAATACTAAATTATAATACATAAGCATTTGATTTTCATTTTCTCTTACTCAACAAACCATCTTTTTCTAGTTTGCTATAGGTGTTTAGCTTCCTGCTTACTTCCAAGATGGTAACAGCTGTAACTATAGTTTAATAATCATAGACTTGTCTCATTTCCATCCCATTTTATTGCATATGTTGACTTAGAACTAACCCTGAAGTTATGCTGCTATGTGTTCTTAGAGTAGCAAATTAAGTGGTACTACACAGCAATTTGATGACATTCTTATGCAGAAGCAGATTTAAATAAGGGGAAAGCCACAAAACACTTCGATTCATGTATATTATAGTTTGATTTTTACAGCCATACTCTGCAACTGTTTTCTAAAAACTCCTTTTGAATCATTGTTCAATGGGAAGTAGGCTTTGCCTTGTGTGCAGAATATTTAATATAATTAGAATAGAGATCATGAATCTTTAATGGTTTTTCTATGAAGAAATGAACATAGAAAATGAAGTTACTACTACGTAGTTGTTAGAACTTTAAGCCCTATAGTCAGATGGAGAGTCTAACCTTGCCTCTTTCAGGTTATTTTTGTTAGCTGTTTTACCTTTTAAAGCCTTCCTTTCCTCACTTATGAAAGTATCTACATCAGTGATGGCGAACCTATGACACGCGTGTCAGAGGTGACACGCGAACTCATTTTTTTGGTTGATTTTTCTTTGTTAAATGGCATTTAAATATATAAAATATCAAAAATATAAGTCTTTGTTTTACTATGGTTGCAAAGATCAAAAAATTTCTATATGTGACACGGCACCAGAGTTAAGTTAGGGTTTTTCAAAATGCTGACACGCCGAGCTCAAAAGGTTCGCCATCACTGATCTACATTGTAGTGTTAAAGGATAGTATGTGGTAATGTATGTGAAATATTTGCATCATTCCTGGCTCTTAACTAAGTTTCAGCTATCAGCAAGATGCAGTCAAGTTTTTAAGGTAGTTGTTTCTATGTTTTATTACATAGTTCACATAGCTAATATTATCTATAGATAATGTGTAAGTGTTTCTTGCATTAATTGTACATTATAAGCTCAGTTGGTTGGAGCATTGTCCCATATATCAAAAAAAGGTTGAGGATTTGATCTTACATGGATGTTTCTCCATCTCAAATCAGTTTTTTTAAATATATTTTTTTTTTATTGATTTCAAAGAGGAAGGGAGAGGGAGAGAGAAAGAACTATCAATGACCAGAGAGAATCATTGATTGGCTGCCTCCTGCACTCCCCCTACAGGAATCGAACCCAGGACCCTTCAGTCTGCAGGCTGACGCTCTATCCACTGAGCTAAATGAGCCAGGGCTTAAATCAATTTAAAAAAAAATTATCTGGTGAGGATTTTCATAAAGGATTTTCCATGTTAAATACTGTATATTTTAAATTGTTTTGATTTTATGTATTCATAAGAAATAAAGTGGTCATTTCATAACTATAAAAGGTTCAAATCACCAGGAACATACAGTAATTCTAAATTTGTATGTACATAATATCATGGACTTAAGGTAAATTAAAAATTGATAGTACTTGAAGAAGATATTGACAGATCCGCAAATCATAATGGGAGATTTCAGCACACACATTTCTTAGTATAGAACATGTAGATAAAAATAAAATGATACAAAACAACAAATAGTATGGGTCTAGAAAATTTCAGTGGAATTAATAAACGTAACCTAATGGACACATCCCCTAACATCTGCAGAATATATGTTCTTTTTAAATGTGGACTTTTATAAAAATCGCCCATGCTAGGTCACAAAGAAAGTATCAACAAATTTCAAATATTGAAAGAGTTTGAATAAGATTAATTGTTTTGTCCTTATATATTTGGTAGACTCATGGGTAAAACTTAAAGGATTAGAATGAAATAGAGTATGTACTGTGACAATAGTAGAATTCAGCTAAAAATCAGTAACAAAGATTGTGGAAAAGTCTAAATGGAAATGAGGAAATGTTTTTAGATGAATGATAGTGAAAGTGCTACCTGGCAAAATTTGTGAGGTAAATCTGAAACAGTATCTACAGGGATATTTATATTTATAGCCTTGTATACACATATAGGAAAAAAAGAAAAACTAAAATTTTATATACTGAGCATCTATTGCAGGTAGGAAGTGAGTAGCAGAATTAGCCCAAGAAGGAAGAGGAGAAACATAAGAACAGTAAGCAGTCATATGATACAGAGAATCAATCCCAAAAAAGGAATGTTTGTTAAAAAAAAAAAAAAAAAAAAAAAACACCCACTAATGAAATTTTTTTAAAAAAAGAGTGAAGATAACCATTATCATGAATGAAAAAAAGAATATTCTACAGAGTCTAAAGATATTTAAAGAAAAACATAAATGGCTTTAATTTGAAATGGATAAATTTTTAGAAAAATACAACTTAACAAAATTGACATTAGGAGAAATAAAATTTAAATAGTTCTGTAACTATTAAAGAAATTGAATCTGTAATTAAAATCATTGATCAAAGAAAACTCTGAGTACAGATGACTTCATCTATGTAGTCTACTACTCATTTAAGGAAGAAATAGTGTCAGTGTTTTAAAAACATTTTTGAAGAACAGCTAAGGCAGAAATATTTTCAATTTTTTATTTTATTAGCCCAACAAAATCTTGGTGTCAAGATCAACCAAGACTGTACAAGGAAGGAATGTTATAGGCTGATTTCACTTATAGAAGTAAATGCAAGCCCTGTCTGGTGTGGCTCAGTTGGTTGAGTATTGTCCTGTGCACCAAAAGGTTACTGGTATGATTCTCGGTCATTGTACATGCCGGTTGTGGGTTCATTCCCCAATATGAGGCTTGCAGGAGGCAGCTGGTCCATGTTTCTCTCCCTCTTCCTCCCTCTCTCTCTAAAATTAATTTAAAAGCAAACACTTTAAAAAAAAAAGTACTTCTGCCATTTAAAAAAAGTAAATGCAAAAATCTTAAATAATTAGCAACCTAAAATATAATATATAATGGTAATCTATCAAGACCAAGTGGACTTATTTTAGGTATGCAAGGTTGGTTTAACATTAGAAATTTCAATGTAATTTTCCACATAAAGAGAAAGATTATATGATCATCTTAACAGATGCCAAAATAAGAAACATTAGATAATATTCAGCATTGACCTGTGATTAAAACTCTTAGCAAAAAATCAGTAGTTAGGTAACTTTCTTAATCTGCAGTATGTATGCATTTTTCTTTTTGATTGCATCTCTACATGCTATGCTTTTGAGAATGTGGCCTTCTACCTGCTGTTTCATCTTCCTGGCTTCTTTCTACTCCTTTTTAACCAAGTTCAGATGTTACCTCTTCTGTGCTTTTTTCCAGTTTCCTTCAGCTGAAAGTTTTTTCTTTGCTTTGTTTACTCATAGCTCTATTATCCAGGATAATCACCTTATTTTAGGGTCAGCTAATTAGCAACCATTAATTCCATTTAATCCTTTGCTATATAAGGTAACATTCACAAGTCCCAGGTTTGGCATTTAGCATGTTTGGGAAGCCATTTTTCTGTCTACCATAGTCTTCCCTCTGACCCAAGAGTCACATCTTTCCCTCATGAAAAATATGAATGATCATCTGTTCATCCTATACCAACAAACCCAAAAGCCTCACCCACAATACAGCATCAACTCAACATCCAAAATCTCATCTATATCTCTTCAGCTCAAACAGTCTAAATCTCATTGCCTAAATCTGGTATGGGTAAGTCTGTGTATAATTCACCCAGAGACACAATTCCTCTTAATCTGTGAACTTAAAGAAACAGGCTTGTTCCAAAATACAATGGTGAGGACAGACATAGGATAACAGTTTCCAACTCAAACAAAAAAATAAAGGAGTCATTGATCCCAAGCAGGTTCAAATCCATCAGACAAACTCAAACTCGATTTGGTTTCAAGGTCTGCTAATAATTATTTGTGGTTTGTGGCTCTGCCTTCTGGACCCAAAGTTTTGACAACAATTCTGAGTCTTCCATGAAGGTTATCATATACTAGAGGCCTGATGCACGAAATTCATGCAAGAGTAGGCCTTCCTTTCCCTAGCTGCCAGCACCGGCTTCCCTTTGGCACCCGAGACCCAGGCTTCACTCTGGTCCCAGCTTCGTCTGGAATGACATCCAGAATGACAGCCGGTCTAATTGGCATATTACCCTTTTATTATTATTATAGACTTGTAGCTGAGTAGCTTTATCAACCTGCTTCTTCTTTGTAGACTTTGGGAGATGTGACAGACTTACATGATATACTCTCTGTCCTTTTAAATCCAAACTGTTACTGTTTCTGCTGTATAAGGTTCTTAAGAATCTTACAGATCTCCCATGTATGAGGTAATGATTAATTCATTTAGACAAGAGGATCTTCCACAGTTCTTTTCTAAATAATTCCATCACTATTTTTGGCTTCTGCTGAGAAGGCTGAGGGGATCTATGAGTCACACATACCACTCTTCATCTTATTAAAGACTATGTGACTGAATATTCTGGCCTCTCTGGGATATTAGCAAAAGGTTGTCCAGCTATACAATCTTTTTTCCTTTTTTTTTTTTAAGAGAAGATTTTCTGATAGTGAACCTCAATTTTAGTGTATTTCACACTTTGGGTAGGATGAGAATTTCTTAAGCCATTAAGCCCTGATTCCTTATTTTTGAACATTTGTTCCCTTAATTTATCTCTCATTTCACATATTAATAAAAACATCAAGAAGAAACTAGTCTATACCTTCAACACTGTTTTTCTTTAACTTTATTGCATTTTGGGGGGTGACATTGGTTAATGAAATTATGTAGATTTCAGGGGTACAGTTCTATAATACATCATCTGTGTATTGTATTGTGTGTTCACCAAATCAGGTCTCCTTCCATCACCATTTATCCCTCTTTACCCTCTTCTTCCTCTTCCCACCCCACTTTCCCTCTAGTATTCTCCATAGTGTTGTCTGTGTCTATGAGTTGTTTTTCCCTAATCCCTTCACCATTTTCACTGAGCCCCTCCCCCCAAACCCTGCCCTTCTGACAACTGTCAGTCTGTTCTGTATCTGTGAGTCTGTTTATATTTTGTTAGTTTACTTTGTTCTTAGTTTCCACATATATATATTTTTTTTTATTTTATTTTTTTAAGTATTTTATTTTATTTTTTAAATATATTTTATTGGTTTTCCACAGAGAGGAAGGGAGAGAGATAGAGAGTTAGAAACATCGATGAGAGAGAAACATCGACCAGCTGCCTCCTGCACATCCCCTAGTGGGGACTGTGCCCGCAACCCAGGTACATGCCCTTGACCGGAATCGAACCTGGGACCCTTCATTCCGCAGGCCGATGCTCTATCCACTGAGCCAAACCGGTTTCGGCTCCACATATATATTAATTCATTGTTCCATCTATACGTATATATATTCTGAAGAATATTTTAAAGGACATTTGCCTTAGATTTTTGGGTTGAAAGTTGTCAACATTTTGTTACTTCCATTGGATTAATTTTACTTTACATAGCTGGTTGTTAATAAGAAATAATAAGTATTATTCTTAATATCTAGAATCAATTTTATTTTTGACAGGTTGACTTTGGCAGAATATCATGAACAGGAAGAAATTTTCAAACTTAGACTAGGACATCTCAAAAAGGTATGTGAAACATCTGTTGGGTTTTGTTTGTTATCGGAGGTTTTGGAGAGTTGTGTTATATAAGTTTCTTATTAAAGAAATCAAATATTAAGAAGAGAAAGTCTCCAAATTAAAAACTTTTAAACCAAAAAAAAGCCAAAAAGGAATGGCATTACATTTGCTTTTTTATGTTGACTATATTAAAATAATATTCTATTCCATTACCTTGTGTCAACTTACAAACATTGAGATGCTGTTCCTGTAGTGAAGTAGTGATTCCTGGCCAGACCTCTAGTCTTAACATTATTTTGCTTAAATACTATTTTTTTTGTTTAAAAAGAGCTTCACTTTTAAGATGCAGTGTAAAATTCCATTTTATTTCTCTCCATTTTATAATAAATTGAAATACTATAAATTAATAACATTATTTCCTTGGCTTAACTTTTAAACTATGGAATGTTTGATTAAATGTTTCAATTAAATAGTTACATTGGCAAATTTAGAAAAGCCTAGTCATCAGTAATAATATAAAGTGATATAATTTAGGAAAATGTGCTATGTGTTATCATAGTAAAATTTTATAATGTATAGCTTTATACTTGTTTATAAGCTGACATGCTAATCACTTCATTGTTTTTACAGTTTATATTTTTAGTTCAAATCATTTCAAGAAAACATAATACAGTAGATTTCCCCCCTCAATTTTACTGACAGATGTAAAAAAATTTTTCTTTTTTTTTAAAAAATATATTTTATTGATTCTTTACAGAGAGGAAGGGAGAGGAATAGAGAGTTAGAAACATCGATCAGCTGCCTCCCACACACTCCCCACTGGGTGTGTGCCTCGCAACCAAGGTACATGCCCTTGACCGGAATCGAACCCGGGAACCCTGATTCCGCAAGCCGACGCTCTATCCACTGAGCCAAGCCGGTTAGGGCTAAAATTTTTTTCTTTAAAAACCCAGCTTTTTAAATTATGTTTTCAGCTTGTCAAATTACTGAAACTTTTTTTTATCCTCACCCAAGGATATGTGTTTTATTAATTGATTTTAGAGGCAGAGAAACATTGGTGTGAGAGAGAAACATCTATCGGGTGCCTCCCTAATGTGCCCCAACAGGTGATTGAACACCCAACCTTTTGGTGTTCGGGACAATGCTCTAATCGACTGAACCATCTTGCCAGGGCAGATTACTGAAAGTTTTTTAGTGGGCTGAATAATAGTTGAAATTGAGTTAGTGAGCTAATTGAAGATAGTATCTTGGATGTCATCTCCCTAGGGTAGGGTGAGATAGGACAGAGAAACCCATTCTGGTAGCAGCTACTATTCATGCTATGCTATTTTGTTTTTGCAATGCCATCAACATACTTCAGACCCATGCCATTTAATTACAGGGAACAGAAAAGGGTTATAAATAGGGTATGTGTCATGTTCTGATACGTTTTGCAGAAGTGGGAGCAAAGCATGACCTGCTTCCAGGCTCCAGGTCAGTGGGCAGTGAGCAGTGGCTATGAGGATAGATAGATAAATGTATATCTAGATAATTTGCATTAGTGTTCTTTTACTATGCCATATATCTGTCCATGCTCCTGCTCAGAAAAGTCTCCACCTAAACTGCTTGAAGAGTAAATTTATTCTGGGTGTTTTGTTTTTTAGTTATTCTTTTCTATTGTAATTATTGACTATTTCTCCTGCTTTTGGATATACAGTAGACAACTTCAGTTTATTCTCTGTAACAGATGGAGTTGTAATGGGACTATAGAAGGAAGAGAGGATTTTGTAATATAGCATGAATATAAGTATTTGAGTGCTCGCCTAAGCCTTTTTGATAATGAATTCAGAGAGACCTGGGTTTGATGTCCCATATAAAGATTTATCAATTGTTTTCTGATCAGCCTTTCATAATAATGGGACAATCCTATCTAATAATAGATAAACATGGTAATTAACCGTACCTCCGACACGCTTCCCATTGGCTAATCAGGGCGATATGCAAATTAACTGCCAACCAAGATGGTGGCCGGCAGCCAGGCAGCTGAAGCAAACAGGAAGCTTGCTTGCTCCAATGATGGAGGAAGCCAAGGTTCCCTGCCTGCCGCTGCTGGCCTCTGAGCTCCATAAGCAACAAAGTTTCAATTATAGAAGCTAAACAAACCCAGACACCTGCTTTCAGCCGCTGTGGCCTCAGAGCTGGGAGTGCCAGTGACGGCAACAATGTTTCAATTACAGAAGGTAAATAAATCTCA